GGTGGGTCTCCATTATGATTTGAGTTTTTTATTTCATTATTCCTACTGAAGAGAGCGCTTGAACTTTGATGCTTAAGATAATAACCTGTAGAACAACCATTTATCAATCTTAAGAGTAAGAGTATTTTTGGGTTCCTTGGATCTCTTTTTTCCTGAATGTGATTAAATCTATTGACAGTGGCTTCAATGGAATAGTGAATTAACCATTTGCAGTCTTTATTTTAATCTAAAATTGATGGAATAGAAATGGATTATTCCATTTCCGTATAGCAGTTCTCTTTATTCCGGTCCGTATGCATTGACAGTCAACGAAATTTGATTAGAATTTCTGATTTAATGAAGTAGTATAGAATTTTTTAAAGGGTAGATAGAATATCACGATAATTAGAATAAATCCATAATGAATTAGTTCTGAAGGAAAAAGGCAATTATTCCAAAATTTATAGTTAATATATCTTACAACCTCGATGAAAACGAAATTTTCCTAGGAGAATCTACAATCTATTCATTCCATCATCAATACAAACTTCAAATATTCGTTTCAATTATTGAGAAATCTTTAAACGGATATTTTGTCGTATTTGAAAATGTTAGATGAGACACTTAATATTTCGAATTACAGAGTATCGATATGATGATGATTTGCTGGCAATATTGAGATTATTGCAAACATCCTATAGATATCTTAATGAGAATATCCAATTATGCTATTTTTCATATTTTTTCTAACATGCGATGCAAGGCGTTTACCTGATATATTTTGGAATAGTACCAATCAAATGTTAGTTTTTTCTTAATACTTTATTTGTATTTAATTTTTTTATGATAGTAATTTGTCATTGAAAAATCCAGATGGCGATCCATCAATATTATCGCAAGATTCATATGATTCCCAAGATGAATTTCTCAGTGGAACCAGTGGAATGATGGTACCAAACGCATATATATATATATATAATGGGATGAATTTTTATCTCTCTTTGAATAATCTCTTTGAATAATGATAATTAATAATAATAATAATAATAATAATAATAATAATAATAATAATAATAATAATAATAATAATAATAATAATAATAATAATAATAATAATAATAATAATAATAATAATAATAATTAATAATAATAATAATGAAATAATAATAATAGTAATAATAATAATATAATAATAAATAATAATAAAATAATAATATAATAATAATGAATAATCTCTTTTACCTCGTTCTAGTTTCATTTGTTGAAATTCATCTATAATGATTAAATTTTATCTAGCCTTTTTTTAAGGCTTAAGTATACTTGATTGTAGATTGAATCTAGATGGTTGTTTTTCTTGCACACCCATTTTTAGCCACTGATTTTAGCCATTGTTATTATTTACAGCTTAGACAGTTCAGTGATCATTTCATATTTCTTATTTGGGGCAGAGTAATCTAGTAATTATTACTTAAATTGTCATAGTTCCATGGTTCAGTCTCAGTCATGGACAGAATAAGCTTGTCATAGAAAAATCTGGGTGCTGTGAGGACCTACCAGTACTTCTATCCCCAAGTGTTGCTTTAGTAATGCTATATCATCCCACTAACAGTCAGTGAGTCTAATGAGAAATGATTGACGTTTTAATTGCTCAATAAGTATGATTAACAAATATAACTTTTGCGAAAATGAATTGAACCAAGATTTTCATTAAGTTAATATTCCATTTTTATCATTTAAATGTCTTCAATTTTCTGTTTCTTAGATAATCATTTCATTTTATTCTTAGATAATCATTTTTTTCTTATTATAGCATTTCTTATTTGGCTTGATGCAAAACTATTAACCTAAAACTCTTTCGTCAGCGAGTCGACTGGAGGTAAAGAAAGAGCCCAGCATCACTACCTGGTCATTTTTATTTAACGTGGAAATAAACTCATAAGATTTACCACTTCTTAATCTGCGAATATTATGGAATTTCTTGAACAAAATATCCTGGATAAATAATTGTTTGGGATGGAGGTTCTAAAATAAATTATGTTTCTTGAATTGCATTTCATGATTCATAAACATAATTCTATTAAAAAGGACCAATAAATCTTCCACCAGTGAAAATTTTAAATGGGTCAATTAAAAATTTTTACTCAAATTTAGAATTTCTTAATCGTTAACCATTGAATCTTTATAGTTCGCTGCATAAATTGTCAAATTTAAGGAGTTGAGATTTGTTGATTTGGACAAAAGAAATTGAATTAACGAACTAAGTTGATGAATGTGATTAGAAAAATAAGGAGGAATAAAGAAGAAAGTCGAAAATACTGCAATTCTTGATTAGGTTTACTGGCAAGCACAATAAATTATTTAATTTACACATTGCCATTATTAGTAATTGACTTTGTTAGTTTATTGCTAGCATCACACAAAATTACTTAGTCAGTATGAATGTTTACAATAGTTTTCAATTATCATTCTGTGGGGTTCATGGAATAATCCACGCCTGAACAAATCAATCCTCCAGATCAGGCAAGGAAAAATATTAGACCATTTTTTATTTTAGCGATTTCTCAACATTTAGCAGATATTGGCTTTCTACTATTTCGCTTTTTGCTTGCTATTCTCATTTTGTTCATTATTTAAGCCAGTTTCTTATATGGTTTTTGAAAATGATTTGAAAATAGTGAATGAGGTGTTGGATGGATCTAATATCTTCATAAAGCAAATATCTGTTTTCTATCTATTTTCCTTACCCCTTCCTCCTCCAGCAATTATAAATGAAATAATAATTAAATAATAAATTAATGGATTATCAAATTAGATTTTTGCTTCAACAATGAAACAAGCGTATGGGATCACTGAATTGCATTAATAAATCAAAAGAAATAATTTTTTTATTTAAATTAAATTTAAATTTAAATTTTACTTAAATTGAATAATTATCAGTCAAATTTACTTATAATTGTTTTCTAAATTTATTTATAACTTTAATTTTTGCCTTCGTAAAGAAATATGTGGAATTAAACATGTAATTCAACCTATAAATTCATTATAATATTAGAACTACAGCTTAAGTTTTAATGGATTGGCCGATGAATAAGGTCATTTTCATAGATATTGGGCTCAATTAACAATTAACAGACGAATCCTTATCTAGATAAAGCCTTTTCATATGGAAACAACATCTAAGCCGTATCCCAATATTTTCGTAATTTATATCCAAAACATTGTAATGATTTCAATGAGATTTGTATTTGTTTGGCTTGAAAATCAAAAGGCGAAGATCAGATAATTACCAAATATCGCAATATATATATATATATATAATTATATAGGAGGCAGCAAAGTGAATGATCGATAATGAACTCAACTAAAAGTTATCAGATTGGATTTGGAGGTCACATGAAAGGTCAAATGATTGCGTCAAGCAAAACTGGACGCTTTCGTTGTTCCCTTGTTAAATGATTTACAATTTGTTCGCCTAGTGAGTATGTGTGGCGAAAATAATATGAAAAAATGGAAAATAAGAATAAATGGCTGAAATGTATAAAATATTCAGTATGGAAAAAACTTATCATCATAAATTCAATTCCTTTCAAAATGAAATATTTTTTATGAGTTCTTGACAGATTCTGGTTTTGCTGGTTTTACGACTGCCAGGGCAATATTTAGCAGAGCTCATTTAGGGAAATATAGTTGGGACTCTATCAATGGGATTCCATATTTAATGGCAAGTTTACTTCCAAGCGACAAATTTGAGATTAATGTATTACATTCAAGATTACTATGAAAATACTGCGGCCCAAACTTTTCTGTGAAAATGTTCGATAAAATTTTGAATGGAATTTTTTTCGAAAATTTTTTGCAAAATATAAATTTCATTTGAAATTTTATTTTAATTAATATAAGCTAAATCTCCTGCTTTATTCGATCATCGCTTTGATTCTTATTTTTCCACATTTTTTTCTTTATATCTTCCATATTTCAACTAAATCTTAACCAATTTATGGACAAATGACATTGACATTGTTATCGATGATTACAAATAATTTATTGGATATTTTTCAGAAATGGATGATAGAGAACTATAAAATTACTCGTTATTTTTTAATTTTAAATCTCAAGAATATAATAATCCATTTTAATGTCATTATCTCATTTTTTCAATCAAAAATTGCTCTTTTTTTTGAAAATCATATTATGGACAACAAAATTGTGACTCCGTGGCGTAGAATTCTTCGTCGATAGTGCCAATCAAACCTGAAATATTGAGAACAAATAGAAAAAGAATAAGTGTATACAAATAGAATTAAATAAAACGTTATAGGTATGGATATCGGCTAAACGAAAAGATTTATTAAGAGATTTAAAAAGACAAATGTTTAACCGCAACACGCTCCCCAAAATGCTATCAGTTTCCCACAGATTTTAATTAATGAAAAGTGCCATTCTATCGAAAATAGTGGAATAGCTCATTTCATAAATTCATTCAAGCACAAAAAAATTCGTTTGACAGCTCATTTCATAATTAAATGCTCAATTTCATTTCCACCGTTCGTAATAATACAATATTTTCGTGCAAATTACGACTTTTTTATTCATATTTAAATAATAGGAACTATATAAAAATCAGTTTCACTACAGTTTGCTAAAATGTCATGATTCTAAAAATTAAGCTTGAAATATTTGGTGTATATTAAAATATTAATTTATATTTAATGCTATAGGAATATAGAAAATTTAATTGGTATTAAATATTGTAAAAAAAATTATTTAGATCCAATGTAATTTTGTGAGGGAAATTCTCGCAGTGATCTGTGATCCACAGTACCTATCAAGATTATTATTAATCTTTTTAACTTATAATAACTATAATAATATTTATGCAAAGTATTTCGAATTTAATATTTGTTCATCTACATTTTTCCATAATTTCTTTAATCGAAGCATGTAGGAATGCTGAGATGTAAACACTAAAAAACTAGATTTCCTCTTTTTTTGTGGAAAATTTTTTTTCTTGGAGTGGTTAAATGAAGTTAAGAAATTAATCGAACTAGAAGAGAAAATCTTGAGAATAATTAGCCCAATCTTAATAACTCAAAAATGGCTGTAATGACATATATATTAATCTGACTCAAATGATTATCTCGAAAAATATTTTTGATAAAATTGTCTTATTTTTACCCTAAAATTTATTTATTTTGGCATTGAAATATTCGGAATTTTTGTTAATTTTCATTAAAATTATTGACAAAAGGGCGCCTGCAAAACATTCGAATATTTCAAGGTTCATTGAGCATTTTCAGTACGCATATTCATGACCACTTTGATTTATTAGACATATCTTTGTCAAATACAAAGAATCGGTCGACAAGAAATAAGAAAGAGATAGGTGGAGAAAAGGTGTGAGATTTGATTTAACAATGACAGAATCGTTCAAATTTTATGAAATCAGCGAAATAAAAATGTACAATATGGGACGAATTTGGATGCATTAATTAAGGGGTAAGATGTAAGATATACTGGCAAAGTTCTGTTTCAGAAGAATGGCATAAAAAGCACCATAATTTTAGTTCCTCGTCTGCTAGATTAACAGATGCTATGCTTTAATTTCTCATTCTGAATAAATAGAATTAATTATCCATTGAAACGATTGCAAAAATATCAGCTGAAGATTGAATCAGTTGTTGTTCTCATTTGAACTTCATTATTTCTTAAAGGTTGTCAAAAATAAATTACATGCGGTGTTAATAATTTATTCACTTAGTCAAGATGATAACAATATTAAATCTGAGAAAATCTGGGGATTAAGGACTCCTCTTATTCTTCTTCTTAAGAGTCTCACATTACTGGTTAAACTCGCTGCACTGGCTTGTCGCATTGAATAATATGCCATGGAGTCCCTTGGTGATAGAAATGCATAAAAAAGTGAGTCGCCAGCATCACCCGGATTTTTGTGCAGGTCTGCTCCTGCGGGGAATCGAACCACAGCTTCGGATGCTCCAAACCGAGCAACACTGAGCCATCATATCCCCGAGGACTAAGGACTAAGGGTATGTTTATGCCAAACTTTGTGCCAAATAATATGTGCTCATGCTAAATAATGTGGATAATTCCTTTAATTTTAAAACAATATGTTGCAACAATAATTTATTCTAATATTATGAACGAAAAAACATCTCATTAGTGTCTCTTCTTTTTAATTTTATGTAGCTTTGCATACTTTCTTTACACCATTACTTCTACTCTAAAGTAAAAGTTGTGACAAAAGCATAAAATCTAATATAAAATCTCAGTATACTCCGCATTAAAATCGTGAAAATCTTAATATATTTTATTTTCGATCCATTTAGATCATTAAAGCAAAAAAGCAAGTGTTTGCTGGACTAATTCCGCTAGCTATTAGAATTTTTTGACAGAAGTCACCAAGTCACCATATCACAAGTATTCAATTCATTAATTAATTTTGTTGTAATGAACCATACTATTTTCAGTTTCGATATAAGCAATACGGATCACGTAAAGCCAGTTAAATTATTGGATCGAATTTCATTCGTTTGCCCAGATCCTAATCTTCAAGCCGACAAATATGAATATACAAAATTATACGCGGTATTAAGTTTTGCAAATTCTTTTTTTTCCATCGACAGTATTGTGGAAAATAAATATGGAGAAAATGAAAATGAGACAGCTAACAGCTAATTAATTTTCAAAAATGGTGACAAAAGTGATAAATCGTTGAAAATTTTTCTATTGCTAATTATTAACAAAAAGCGACAGATTAATTTATTCAAAAAGTTATTGAATCGAGGAAAATGTACACGAATTTTGGAAATTCTTCTAAGGTATGGCTAGCGCCATTTTCTATTAGGCTGCTACCGTTCAGCCAATGAGTCACTTGGAGATAGAAGTATAAACGAGCGCCAGTCAGCTCTTCGCTCTTTTCGCTCTTTTGCAACACTCAGATATTAAATCATTAGTAATTAGCAATTTTAGAAATTTAATAAGCTTTTATATCGTTTCACTCATTCAATTCCTTGAGGATGTATAGCAAGTAATCATTCGATAAGCTTCAACGACCTTATTGTCGTTTAGATTTTCACATTCATATAAAATTATTTTAATTGCTATGACGGACAAAGAACATATTAGAACCGGACGTTAGTGATAAACAATAGTCTTTGTAACAGTACTCGGCTGTGTTTTCTATGCAACTTGGATGTTAAACGCTTATTTCACTTAATTTTGTTCGCCAAAAATACATTTTCAGAGTCCTTTTATTGCTCTGTATATTCCAAATTTTTTGCATATTTCTGAGAATTTCGCTAAAAATTTTGCTTTATAACATATTTTTGTTACTCCTTTTGTTTCTTGTTACTCTTGTTTGTTATTCTTACTTTTGTTACTCTTGTTACTCTTGTTTGTTATTTTCGAAGTTAAGTTAACTTCCATCTAAATTTTTCTTCCTCCAGGCTTTAAATTAATCGTTAATTTATTCCGAAGACTTTTATCCTTGCCGAAATCTATCAAAAATTTGCATTGGTACCAAAATATATTTATTTTATCTTTCACAAGTTATTTTTGTACGCAGGTTTTTCATCGATGTATTTTTAGGATAACTCATTTGAATCTCATGTCATCATATTTTGCTCCAATTATCTAATTATCGTACTATATTGTATAGGGCACTGGACCACTTTAAGTCTTGATATATCGGATGAAATAATTCAGGTAAGCAAAGAAGGATATGATAATTGCGAGTTACAAAATGAAAAGCTGATTGGAGTTTGCAAGAGCTCGAACAAACAATCTATAATAAGCATTGTTTTTCGCGACTTTTCACCACTACCCGGTGCTGTAGAATTTCAACCTGGTCAAAGCTATTACATTATAAGTAAGTATTTTCAGTTTAATTTGCAATTTTTAGAGTTGTTTTTTCTTCCTTTTATAATTTCCCTGTTAGAAGTAATTGATGGTGGTGATTTCTCGTTTGTTCCAAACTTAAAATATGATAATTAGCCAGCTAGTAAGACATTGCGCATTTTCTGGCATATTAATCTATAAAGTTTGGCAAATTCGATTATTACATTATATTATATGAGTTAATATATGAATCCGAATCACCTTTAGAAATTTAAGTTTGTTTGAAAATTTGAATTTTATTTTAAGTGGATATTCCAAAAAAGTCGTCGCCATACCACATTGGAATAGCTTTAAGGATTGAGAGGGAGTAACAATCATTTGACGCTTTTAAAACGAATAAAAAACAAATTTGGTAAAGTTAAGAACCATATTAGTACTTATGAAATAAATATGACTGTTATTATCTATTATTACTGAAAAGCCTGGGAAGTTTTTGAGGATAGGAAAAAGATATCTTCGGAAGTGGATTATCACCTTTTTCATCTAAATCATGTCGTAGCAATTACTGCAAATAAATTTTTAGGCCTTAAAAAGAGGCCACATATATATATGTAAGAAAATAAGTGGTTAGCGCTCATTTCTGTGCTTGTGCTCGTTCCGCTGATTAGTGCGGTTCGAATTTTTGGAGCGGCTTGAAGTATAGAGTTACATTCGGATTTTTAATGACACATGCCAAGAACATGCACCGAAACCTTGCTGTCAACGAGGCAGTCTAAGCCATTATCCATTCGGCTATATTGCCTTTCGATGAAATTGGTGAATTTATGAACTTTTTCCGGCTTGGTTTTTTCTTAAATAATGAGTAATATATGTAGTGCCCATCTGTCGCTTCCTGTTTTTTAATCGAGAAAAAACAATTTTCAAAAATCATCAAAAAATTTTTAAGAATTACAGATAAAGCCCATGGAAATTGAAATGCGGCTTTAATTTGTATTTATGCTTTTTAAATGAGTAATGAAAAACTTTTGTATTGTTTAACAATAAAGGCTTTATTTATAGCAACCTCCGATGGTACTGAAGAAGGAATTGATAATCGATCTGGTGGTCTCTGTTATACTAGACATATGAAAATTAAGTTCGAAATCCATTCAGGCAATCTGTTTTTCTTTAAATCATTTTAATTTAACAAACTTTTTAATATAGTACGTATAACTACATCAAAAAAAATTGGAATACTGATTCTTGGGGCCATCATAAATCCGCAGAAATCACTGATAAAGCCCATGAAAGTTGTAGACAAATTTCATACACTATTTTGAAATTACGAATACAACTTGCACCTTTAACTCAATAAGAGTTTAATATTACGATCTATAAAAGTTGTAAAGAAGAAACAAAAATGTTATAATATCAAATGCTAACAACAAGAATTTTTCGGCAATTAATTTGACGAATTTGTGGAAATTTGTGTAAAAAAAAATTTATGTTCCTTAGGAAAATGGGTCGGTTTTAATCTATTTCATTTCCATAAAATATGTCGAAAAATCTAGTTCACAACATATCACTTAACTCTCCTTAATTAAATGCGAGAATTGAATGATGGTTTTAAAAAATTTTTAAAAAAGCATTTGAGAAGACAAATGCGATGTCGCATAGTTCTCCTCTAAAAGTTTCAGCTACTGGAAATTGTTTAGTGATATTTTGCTCGCTTAGACTTTAAAATAGACTTCATGAGATTATTCACGGTAGCTAAATTTCATTTAACTTTTAATTTTCTAATTAATTATTTCTTTAACTCATTGCTTATAATTCAAGAAAAATTCAAGAAATTTAAAATTTAAAGTAAAATTGTAAATATTTACTAATATTTACTATAGTTAAGATTAATAATATACTAAAAATGTAAAAATTTTTATTTTGGATAAATATAAAATAAACATTCAGATTCAGATTTTTGCAAACGTAAATCAGGTCGGTCTTTTAAGAAACTTTTATAATTTCAGTTTTTTAGCTTTAGTTTTTTGAGATTCAAAATTTAAGAGTTAACTGGTACACTTGGACATTTTAGATGATATGATGGATAAATATTATATTCTAAATGAGACCCAAAAATCAAAATCTAAATTCATCGATGGTTATACCGAGATATATATGATTTGTTACTTAATGAAATGTTATAACTATGAATTAACGGGAAATCAGAATCTCTTGAATTGATATTTAGAACTTTACGTTTATCTAAAGAAAATTTAATTTATATACCACAATGCTATGAATCGTTTTGCCGTCATTTCACCATTTGATGACAATGACGATTTATTTGTTCCTCCAAATTTTTAACAAAACTTGCAATCATCAGAACATACATTTTTTTAAAGAGTCCTCACCATTACTGGTTAAACTCGCTCCGCTGGCTTGTCACATTAGACCAATGTCAGGGAGTCCCTTGGCGATAGAAGTACAGGTGAGTCGCCAGCATCACCCGGATTTTTGTACAGGTTTACTCTTGCGGGGAATCGAACTTCAGCATCGGCGCTCCCAATTGAGAAACAACCCACTGAGCCGTCTTATCCCCAAATGTCCATTTGATAACAATGAAGAATTATTTAATCCTCCATATTTTCAATAAAACTTGCAGTATCATCAGAACATACATTAGAATTCAATTAAATACTAATAGCGCAAGAAAATATAATTGCAGAAGGATTTATTGCTCGAATTATTTTTCCATTCAATTTATATACAATTTTGGTTAATTTGAATAATTTTCAAGAATAGAATTTTCTTCTGGGAAAATAAGAAAGATCTTAAATTTTGTAAAAAAAACTGTGTAACCATTAAAAATAATTGTGGCCATTCCAGCTCGATTCTCATTTTATGCGATTTTTTTAAATTTTTATTATATGAATTTTATTATTTTATTATATTTTATTTTTATTATATTATAAATAAATATGAAAAATTTGCTAGCAATTTGAATTGAAATTATTTGAATTGATTAGAAAAAGTGAAAATATTTTAAAGATTAGGAGAAAATTGGGTTGAAATGTCACAAAGTTTAAATTAAAATTAAAATTCTAGAATTTTTAAAATATTGTTTTATAATACAAAGAGGAAGAAGAAGCGGAAGCAGAACATATGCTAGAATTTATAATATCATAATATAAATTTGTAATGCCATACAGTAACAGAATATAGGAGAATGGTTATTGCCAAATCTTGGCTGATAATTTTGTATTCATCGCTTTAAAATCGTATTAAGTTAAATGAAACAGAATATAAATACAATATGGAAATTCGTAAATCTTCGATATTCTTGGCGATTAATCGAGTGGTTTTTTTGCTTCGACTAATGGCAAGCATCATGCGTTTCTTCTTTCTTATTAATGACAGTAAATCTGTCATTATAAGTGGAATTAGACTGTTTCTGGGCGTATTAAACTCATAATTTATGGTAAATATGAAGGTAATTAATTCTTTGGACGAATGATAAAATACTAGCTGCGGTTTACCTAGGAGTTTTTATTATCATATCGAATTTTCTTGGAATGATCTATTAGTATTTGAAAATCTAAATAAATAAATAAATTAGTATGCAAATAATATTCAGAATAATTAAGATTTGATATTAATTACTACGTGCTGAGATCTGTGATTTGCATAATTAAGGAGTATAGTAGGCTTAATTAAGGTATATTCAAAACTAATGCTTGGCTAGGTCAACTGCATTATTTGTCCTTTATCGATATATTTAAATATTAAGGTTACTGAATATATGATTTTATTTATTCGAAATATATCACAGCACAGCATTTATAATATAATTCGGGGATATGCTAGCGAATTATTCTTCTTTTACTTTCATTTTTTCTAATTTTTATTTTTTGCGCACAAAATTTTAAAGCTTCATCTTTCAAAGTTTTTAGATTTTCTCAAATATTCTTTTAAGAAGACGTGATATCCACGTCATCCATTAATAAAAGAAATTGATACGAATTGATATGATAAAAAGAAATGTTCATTTAATTTTGCCTATGAAATAAACTGAAATTTTATTTATTCCATTAGTGAAAGAAATTGATATGGTGAACAATTGATCAAGAAATAAATCTTTTACCCTCTTTTTCTTTCACCTTTAATTACTTCATACTTTTTGTGCTAAGCAAATTTTTTTTGATCATTCCACACCGAACTGAACGATTACAAATACGCTATTTTAAATTATTTTAAATTATTATTTTAAATTATAGTTGTAACATTAATTACAAAAAATTTAGCTATTATCAAATAAAGAAAAAATATTTTAGTACTCACTGGCATTCATGAGAAAATTTCTTGATTTCTTCAGTAAAATAGAATAGAATATTTCTAAAAATATTGTTTTAATGGAAAATCTTTCAGAAAAAGATGAGAACGAAAATTATTTGGAACAATCCAGTGTTCACTTTAGGCACAAAATTCAGTAAGTAAATTCAGTGAGATTTTTCATCACTAGCCGAAATCCAGTCATTTAAGCCTCCGATATCTCCACTGGATCTTTGCATTTTACAGAATTCTTAATTTCAGGGATTCTGAAGAGAGTTCTACTCCTCTTATGTATATAATTCATACAAGTGATCCCTCATCCTCTACTGATGATGGTATGGTTCTTGGTTCTTGCGTGCTGCTAATACTTTTTTTACCACTCCAGTTAAAAATTTATAACTTGTCAAGAATCTTAATTCTAATCATGTTAATATGGCGCACAGAAAACATGAAAACCTGGGCAGAGCTCAGCGATTCCTATTTCCAGTATACATTTTCTTTTAACAAATTACAACAAACCTAATCAGAAACAATGAGTGCCAATCATTATTTCAATTCTTAAGCGATCACAAAAAATATGTTAGAAGAGAGTAAATACCCCATTAAAGCACGTTAGAAATTCTGCTCATTTTCATGGGCAAAAAATTTGATTGACTTGGATGAAAACTGTAAGGCTGTAAAGCTGTTATATAACTTCTTTACTATTCTTTTGTTTCAGATGATGGAAGCTCGAAGACTTGTGTATTTAATATATCCTTAATAGTATTTTTACTCACTTTTCTGCTGCTTAGGTAAAATTTTGATCTGCCTTTTAATATAAAAACGCGTACTTTTACATTGTCGAGCTTGAAAGCTTGTACTTTTGGATAAAAATTCACCGAATATTTTTTCTTTTTATGTAAATATTAATGCTGAATAGTAACAATACTTGAGCTCAGTGAGACTTAAGGCTAAAAATAAACCTAACAACATATTCTTAATAATAATAATGGTTTCTATATGATAATCACCTCAGTTCAGGACACAAAATCTTTTGTGATTGTGATATTGTTTATACATGCACTGTTGTTAAGTATCTTATTGAAGTGTCACCAATAAAATTCAGTAATTTTGAATATCGCCCCAGCAAATAAAATTATTCTATCTTTCAAACTCAAACCCAATCGATTCAGCAAAATATTTTGGCAGTACTGAAAAAAGTAAACAAATAGAATATAGAGCAACTGGACCGTTAATAATAAAAGAAACTTTGCTAGCGTGATATCCCTATAAATAACTGGAAAAAATAATTTCCTCATTTTCATCCAACATAAATAACCAAAAAACTTTTCTTAAAAATGAAACTTTGGTAAGTTTTTTGCAATTTTCACGAAATCAAGTAGCAATTATTATTCAAGCTGATTTCAACGATAATAAATAGGTAAAAGATGGATAACTATGTAGTAAAACCAATATTTATTGAACATCTGATTTTTCTTTAAAAATGTGAATAAATAAGGCTTATTTACACTAGTGAAATTATTGATACACGTTTAATAATAGAGACGTGACAAATAACAAATCTCAGCAATTCTGAACACAGTGAAGAACTGGTAAAGTTTGCGATAAAGATAATCAAATAATCACTAAAAATTTGTAAATCCTATTAAAATCCAAATGAACAAGAAAAATCTTCAAAATACTATATATATTTACAAGTCAAACAAAATTTAGGAAATGACTGAACTAAACGATTCAAATTAATTGCAAAAGATTTATTCGTTATATATTTGAATTCATCGAAAGAAGATGGAAGAGCTCGTTTCTGCAAAATAAGCAAGTTCGATATCGCACCTACCTATGTTCAAATGAAGAACCAAAATCGCATAGATCGGCTAATGAATTCAACTTAGTGAAATCTTCACTACTATTTATGATCTATGGCGAATATAATATTATGGTATGTACAATATGGAATTTTTAAAAGATGGGAAATTGCAGGAACTAAAATCTCACAATTTGAGATTTATTATCTTCTGTTAAGGTTATCTGTATATCAGAAAATTGCTCGCTTGATGAAACACCGCTGCTAGCTGATGAATCCTGAAAGAATTTTGAATTTTCTATTTTTAAAAATTACAGTATTTGGATTTTTGAAGGATAATTATTGATAATTTCACTGTGAACAATCTTTAGGAAATCATTTATTTTTAATAATTTTTAATAATTTTTAAATTAAGAAATCACTGTTATACACAAAAGAAAATTTCCTTCCATCGAAAAATTTTTATACTTTTCTGAGTTTTTTAATTATCTGTAAGCGATGCATGGATATGGGAACAATATAAGCAAAAATGAACGATTCCGTGACGTTCAATTATGCATATTACGATAGGAAATTAATTTTGCTGACCTGTTCAACAGCATTTATAGTTCGCTGCAGGTAATTACCTTCGTTAAAATAATAATCATCATCATCATCATCATCATCATCAACGTCAGACATTGAACGACGACGTAAAACAACAAGACGAATAGGTTCGCCAGCTGCTTCACTAACCAGTTTCGTAAACATCAATGGCGAACGAAATAACTGACCAGGTTTTTCATTGATCTCAAGGAAACTAAAGATGGATGATGAATGAGCTTGCTTAAGTTTTTGAAAAAACAAAATTTTCCACTATTGGATTATTCGAATATATTACCAATCCTGTTCCTTAAGTGGTACATTGGCCCCATTAACTTTTGTGACCTGGAGGCACCCAAATCTTCCTTCAGCCACCGCTACATCTCTTATAGTCAAAGGCGTTTCAACGGCAACTACTTTATCATAACTGGTTGAACGGACCAATTTAAATAATGGTATGTGTGGTTTACTTCGTTTCTAAAAATAAAGAATTCTTGAAAAATTAAAAATTTATAATATTTTTTTGAAAATGAACATAAAATTCTCATGAAAAAATTGAACAGCCTGATGAAAAAAAATTTATAAATGAAGAATGATCAGTCTGCTCTGCTCTGATATTAAAATTAAAGAGCGAAAGATGATGTTCAGTACCATTTTTACTTCTATCCACAAATGACTCTCTGGCACAACAGTATCATCCTAGAAAACTGGAAGCAAGCAAAAGTGGAATAAATTATATATACAAACAATTAAGAGAAATTAATTTCGACAGCCTATTTAGAAACAGATCGTGAATAATGTTCGGACATCGAAGATAAGTGTAATTAAATGAATACAATGAAAATCGGTTAAGCCATGCTAAGATATTTCAAGTTAGGTTAGCTCCACTAGCTGTAATTATGGGCATGATTTTTGCCAGGGAATTACTTGGCGATAGAAGTGGCGACTCGCCAGCTCCACCTAGGCTTTTTAATGGCAAATTCATTTCTGCTCTGAAACACGGCCCGAATAGACCTTAAAATACGATAATCTGAACATCCATTCGGTGACCCTATTTCCAAGAGAATATCGGTTAAATGATTCGGTTCAAAAAATAAAATAAAAAAGGAAATGAATTTCACTTAGTGAAAACGAAAACGAAAAATTGAAAAAACTTTAATAATTCGTTCGTCGCATTTTTCATTTTCTGCGCGTTTATTCTGTTTTTCTTTAATTGCATCGAGTTCTTGAAGCACTTTATTTCGAACATTTTTCTCCGATAAGCCAAGCTGCTCTTAAATTTATTCGCAACCATACATTTGCACCATTTTTCGACAAAAAATTTGAAATTAATCTATCCTCAACCGCCCGAAATCTCGAATGAGCCTTTTATTAGATTTGAATACGAACCGGATGGAAATCCATCTAGGATGAAACGCTTAATAATTATATTTATTCCAATATTTATTGATAATTTTTGTTGTATATAATAAATTTATTGATAAAAAAACGTACCTAATGCTTGATGATCCCATTTTTCAATATCATTACCATTTAGTTCATATCCAATCATTATTGATGCAACTTCATCGAGTTTGCAGTGCTGAAGCCAGAGAAGCACATCGTCGAGGTTCCACGTCTAAATCAACTAGATACAAATTAAACAGATAAGTACAACATGAAGGGGCATAAAAGTAGAATTTAAAAGCTGAGAAACCACAGACATCGAAAGTTTCTGTTGAAACATTTATCAACAAACAGTAATCAGAGAAGCCGCCCAAGAAATTTTGCGTGCTATCAGAAAATGAAAAACAGTGAAGGTTATAATAAAAGCTACAATTGTGCTTCTTAAAAAAGTTACACCAATTAGCTTATTATTATTATTATTTATTATTATTATTTATTATTATTATTTATTATTATTATTTATTATTATTTATTATTATTATTTATTATTATTATTTATTATTATTATTATTTATTTATTATTATTATTTATTATTATTATTTATTATTATTATTTATTATTATCATTTATTATTATTATTTATTATTATTATTATTTATTATTATTTATTATTATTATTTATTATTATTATTTATTATTATTATTTATTATTATTATAATAAATAAACTATGGTGATAGAAGAGAAATAAAGCCAAAAATACAGCTAATGGTTTCTTCGACCAGAGTGTAGCTTGTCGTCTTTCATACGCCCGACGATTGCGATTATTGACTCGGTGTATTTCTAGATTTTTAGAGCCTATTGACCGATGCAGCTCTGGACAGTTTTTTCGCAAAAGAAAACTAAAATAATATAGCAAAAATTCTTTTGAATCTCATGGTGAAATCTGACAACGAATTTGTAGATGAAATATTAAAAGCAATATATATTTTTTCAACAAATAATTAAAGTTTAGCAATTTGTCAATTATCAACTAAGATAAGCATAAAAATATCAGATAAAATTTTAAAGTAGTTCTATTCTCATATAATACAGCGAATAATTTATTGATCACAATGTCTTAATTTCTTGTAAAAGGACATTATTCAGAAACTTCAGCGATTGAGTTTCGAAAAATATTTGCGGTGCGATTTTTTTCTTGATGTAAACTGAAATTGAGAAATTCTTACCCTTCAACGTTTGAACACATTGATGATGGACTGGAATCGGATGTACCCGTTCGATAAGCCGAATCGGCATCGATAATCAAATTCGCTACAAAACAATTTTTTTCATTTTTGGAATATATCAAAAATAAATGTATCAAAAAAAACGATTTTCTCTTGGATAGACCTTGGATAAATCATATCTGGATCTGCAACACCACCCAGATTTTAATGGCGTGCCTAATCAGAACATTCGATATGACAATCTAAGTAACTGGGCCATCTGCTCTCATTACCCTTTTATTATATCATTACCGCTTAAACACTCCTCTTTGAATAATTTCACTCGCTCTATTTTAAAATTCGTGACTAAAAATGAAATCTGGCGATCTATATTGTACTGATAGCTATAACTGACAGTTCCTAAAGCGATAAAGTAAACAGGAAGATTATCATATCACACCATTTAAAATTTGATCGCTTTCGCTATTATTTAGTAAAGTTTTTATTACTGGTTGTTTTGAATCAAATTGTGAAAAGAGACTTGATTAAACATTTATCTAAATAATATAAATAAACCGGTGGAGGTCATCTATATAGTTCGTTCATTCACCACAGAGTTCTTTCTCACTGATTCAAACTCAAATCTCCGACCATAAAAGGCAATTTATTTTTTAAAATCTTTCATCGAAACCAATCATTAACCAAAATCTTTCAAATGCCCTTCATGGTCTATGTTCAAGGTCCTCTTTTTTATAAGCGTTCAGACCAAACCAACACAAAATAATATATTTCTCCAAATATTTTCAAAAATTTTAAAAGGATATTTTAAACAAATGCTGGCAAAATAAAGCTAAAAAATTCTTATTCAAAAGCCAATATCAGCAGTTTCTTTGGATCGCTTGCTCTTGACAGGAATCTGAATGGTGCTGTACGCCCTTATGTTCTATTGCCACGCCAGCAAAACTTCTAACTTTACTGAGAATAAGTTTAATGGTGAGCACTTAGCATTTAGTTATTTTATGCCAACATTTGGATGATTCAAATTAACTGGTTTGAATTTCCAGAAAGAAAGAAAAAAACTAAAAATTTAACAAATTTGATATTAAATAAGTAAGGAAATAAAAAGTATAAATTAGTTAGAATGGAAATGGAAATCTGCGTTTTTTCCACAAAAAAAGAAACGGAGACAAACTAAATTGGAAAAATTGGAAAAATGATTACAAATAACAAGGCAAATAAGGCAAATAACAAGAAATTTGAAAAAAAATATACTAAAATTTAAAATTATACGTATTCGAAAATAAAACGAACTGACCAATACAAATTGGAGCTCATAATTCAAATGACAAGATTATAAACAGTAAAAATGTCGAAAATTCAGAACCTTGCGCAAATATCTGCGCAATTCTTTTGCATAAAACGGGTTTCGAAAAATGAAGAAACTTAAAAAATTTACCAAAATTTACGATAGACGGTCAAGCATTTTAAAAGTTTCGAAAATATTTTGTTTCAAAAATAAATCATTTCATTAAAAAGAGTAGTAATTATTTATTTTTAAAATGTTTTAGAATTACGAAAATATTATTATGAAAAGTTGCAAAATCTAATAAAATCCTCTCAAAGAAATATCATTCCTTTTACTATCAATAAAAATCAAAAATTGTATGAGCTAAAAATTTATAGCTTACTTGTAAAATTGTCGCTTAAAACAGGAAGGGCCATTGGTGATAAACAAATTATTGATGAGGGTGATAAGCAATCAGATGATGATAAGTACTCAGTGTCTGCTGTTATTTTCGATGCATGGCAATCTGTTTTCTTTGCTTCCTTTGAAAAAATTTTTTTTATATTTTCAAAGCAAAATCTCACTGAAACTCGACTTTATTTGCGATTATTATTTTATTGGTATGGTTTCGCCGAAGGTTTTTTCACTAATTTCTTGCTCAAACGATTCGCTTATATACGCATTCAGTGGAAGAGAATCATTGAATTCATTTCTTATTTCTACAAAATTTATTTTACGTATTGTGATAGATTTATTACTTTCTCTGGATAAATACAATTTATAAGTGATAAGGGTCGATAAGCGCCAATCGCTAAGCTTCAACGTTCGGCTAAATACAAAACCAATGGAGCCAAAATCCGCATGAATTAATCAAAATTAGTCAGAGTCATTATATGTAAAAAAATTGTCTTAAGCCCATTAATATTAAAATTATTTTGTAGATGTTAGGATGGCAATGATTGGTTGTAATAATGTTAATAATAAAAGTAATAAAATATCAAATGCATTGCTAATAAAAATTATTAAAATATACATACTTTAATAACAGAATTCTTAATTCTATTTAATTCTTTACGTATCATCGTTCCACTTGATTGCATATCATTAAACACCGTAGTGCCTTAAAAAAAAATGTTTTTAGGATGAACTGAATGTAGGTTTGAAATTACACTTGTAAATGATTGAACAAAAAGGAATATTTTGGTGAAGAAATAGACCCGATGAAGAAAAATGTTTTTGACGTTTACCAATTAAATAAATATGCGGAAACAAAGATTCCTGATGAAAAACGATTCTCATTGAATAAGGTAATTTGTAATGCAGTGGGCTAAAATGGAATGAACAATTCGAAAGATGAAAAATAAGATAAAAAATTAGAAGGAAAACAATGATTAATATGAATTCTATACTTAACGTTTAAAAAAATTCATAAATTCATCAAATTTATCAATCCAGGCCAAACATGGGAAAATTTTAAAATTTTATGAATTATTTTGTCAAACAGCTTTCGAGAAATTTCTTGTAAAAAATTTTTGACGAAAATTTAATACAACTTTATTATTTAAAAAATGAACTAATTAAATTATATTTTAAAAATTATAAATTTAAGAATGAGAAAAATAAAATTTCGCGAAAAAAATAACGTTTTTTTTCTGTTAAAAAAATAAAAACTGAAAATAAAAAATTTCAAGTTAATGAATTTAGAAATTTTTTTAAACTGCATTATAAACTGCCTTCGAAAAAAAAACCTCTTGAGAAGCAATTTGCAATTTCCCTAAAAAAAATTTTAAAATACAAAATTTTTTTTTAAATAATCGAGTAATGCGCTGAAAAAATTCAAAAAGTGGAATAAAAAATATTTATTAGTGTATATTTAAGAAAAGAAAATTGTTCATTAAATAACTGCCTTCATTGGATTTTTTCCCTAAAAAACAGAAAATTTTATGGAAAAAATAACCATTCAAAAGTAATGAAGAAAAGAAATGAAATGATTTGTAATGATAAAATGAAATGAAAAAGAACTGCGAGTTTGATTAATGAACGTTTACCCATTTTTGGATAGACTAGCTCCTCTGGTTGTTAATGAAAATTAAAATTTTTGCGAAAAAGATACACACATAATCCGATAAATCAGATTTACCCAATAAATTTTCACCATGCCTTCTCACTATAATCTGAAACAATGTCACCCACTCGGCAATCTTACGATTCAATTAAGTTCTTTTTATAAGCAGAAAATTAAATAAGCAGAAAAAAGGGCATTTAAAATTTTAAAATTCATTTTGAAAATCCAGTGAAATCAAAAATAATCTGGAAAACAATTTCATAAAAACGATGAGAAATATTAAATTAAATGAAAATTTGAAAAATGATTTTATACTGAAAGTAACTTGTAGAAGGATAAACGTTTTTCGCAAATAATATCTTCGTTTGGACGTGGAAAACACCTTTTGGAATTTTCTAATAACAATCTAAGAATCTTTTTATTAAAGAGAATATTGAAAGTGTATGTTAAAATTATGGAACGATGAGTGAAAAAATACTTCCTCGAAAAGTCATTGATAGCTGATAATAAAATCAACCCTAATAACGATCAATTTAAGATGTTTACGGTGCCAAAATATATGCAAATTTGTCAAAACGCTGAATTAAATGTTTTCTGAGTTTCTCTGTTAAGTTTAATGATTATCACCAAATTTAACAAACTATATTAGCTTTTACTACTTCTAAGTTTAACAAATAGAGATGCTTCTCCCAAACAGTCATTTAAGGATTTCTAAGCGAATTCATTTTTATAATTCCCATTCAATTTTTCAATTTTCAGTGATGATTTTACTTTCATCAAAGCACAAAAATAGAACCTATGATACCTAATTTCTATCAAGGTAACCGAAACATGAAGACTGAAAGTAGCCTGAGGAAATTCATCTTTAAACAAAGGTTGCACCAGAGCCTGCTTATAAAAATTTTGTAACACAGCGAATGGCTTATAATATATCCTCATCACCTATAATTCATTTTCCAAACACGGATATGGAAAATCCATTCATAATGTTAATCTATTTGTTACAATTATCCAATTAAGTTCTCTTTCCTCACAACCAAATGAAATGATTAACTACTAATAATTTCAATCATTCAATCATTTAAACACAGCAAATACTATTAGCTAAAGTAAAACTGCCACAAAATAAGAGATCTGGATAGCGCTATCGAGTATCTATCCCTCAATTACTCTCAAGAAAGACTAACTTATCTTACTAAAAATTAATGGAGCTATATCCCAATGAAAAATTATGAGAGCACTAACTACTTACTAAGACACCGTTAGAAATTAAAAATAGAACAGAAAATTCGAAAGCAGTCTTGGATTTAGCTTTAATTATCAAGCAAAACGATTCAATTAAAATAAAATTTAAAACAAAAACGACCATAATTTACAAATAATTTTTAAAATATTATTGAAACTATATCGTTCTTTTTTTAAATCCATATTTCTTTTCATGTTATTTTCATCTATTTAACAGTTAATTCAATAAGCAAATCCGATAATTTCAATAAAATCGCATAAATCGTGCGATTGATAATTAATCCGGTAATTCTGCCTAATAGGCGAATCTGATAGATCATTAATAGGCGAATCTGATAGATCATTAATGGATCATTAATAGAATAAACTAGAAATCTACAATTTTTGAAAATTTCATCCAATTTATTTCTGATTTACTAACCATTTATTTATCCCTTCAGCTTGTCTGGAAAACTTTGCAGCTGACTTTTCTTAATAAGGGAAAGAAAATAAGCGAATTTAAAAAATATCTAAAAAATATCTAATATTTAAAAAAATAAGATAGAAGAAAGTAAAATCCAAAATCTAATCCAAGAAAACACTGGTAAGACCACGAAAAAATAATTTTACCAATCGGAATTTAATATCAGATGAAACAGAAGCAAGCGAGATACAATTTTTGAACAAAATTCGCTTCCTTTAGTTTACAATTTTTAAAAAATAATTTCCAAAATTGCAAAAAATAAAAAAATGTTTGTTTAGTAAAAATAAATTTGTTTGCAAATAGGAATTTACCAATAGAATAATTAAACGAGATTTTAAGATACCTTTTTCAGCCGATTTATCGATAATTTTTCGATTTTCGTCGAAATCTTGCAATCGAATTCTTCTTATCTCAGAACGCTCATCGAAAGGTGAATGAAAATTGTGCGAATTTGTTGAATCTATCCTTAAAAACAGTTTAAAATAGAAAAAAAATCAAATTATCTGATTTAGAATTTCAAAAAAAGATTGAAAAAAGTATGGATTTGGAAAGTTTAACTTTTTATGGAGAAAAAATTTTTCCTTGAAATACTATTAAAAAAGAGAAAAATATCTGAAAATATCTTAAAACAGTTGAAAAAAGAAAATATTTGAAAAAACGAAAATTTCTCAAAAATATTTTCAAGCATAAATTTTTCGGACAAGAAAGGAAAGAAAAACCTTTGAATCGATTGTACAATTGATTTTTTTGTATGAATTTGAATTGGAATGGTTTTTTCCATTAATTCCTCTAAAAATTCATTCAAACTTTTATAAAAAGAAAAAAGGAAAATTTTCATAACTTTTGCAATGTTGCCACCTTAACTAATTTTCTAAATAAATTTTTGTTAGGCAAATGCCACGAAAACCCAATCCAAAAATTATCGCAATCGGTAGATCGCTAGGTAAAATATTTCATTTAAGCAAAACGAAAGATAAATTCATAAAAATATGCTTAAAAAAATAGAGTTTACAGGGTTTTGTCAAATTATTTACTTTATCTGGTTACTTTCAACAAACCATTAATCGTTTTTTCGAGTTCAGCAATCAGATACGAATGAGTTTTCTTAGCGGAATAACGCGATAAATGGAGTAAATGGAGTAATCAGATGTATAGGCTAAGGAACATTGCCATTATAAAACAGTTACTCGGATTAAAAACGAAGTTTTTGTTTAAACTTTCTCCAAAATAAAATATAATGATCATGAACAAAACAAAGGAATGATAATGATTGATGTTGACTAATGCTAACGTTCTTTGTTGATATAGAAATATTACGATAAAATTCTATAGCTATTTCATGAAACAATAAAATTAAGAAAAGATGAATTTTACTGATTCTCCAAGTTTTTTGCTGCAAACAAATGCTCAAAAAATATTGCAAAAGAAAATGTGTGAAAGAAATTTAAAACAAGACTAATAAAAAACAAACAAGACTAATAGTCCATAAAGAAGGCAGTTGCAAAGAAAAGATTAAAAATTAAGAAAACTCTGGAAGCCATATTTATTAAATCGCTTGAAATGAAAATAAACGAAAGATGAAATGATTCAGGCTCATTGGCTTGTAAATCCTACTGCGGAGCTGAAATCTTGAAAAAATGCCTCATAGGTAAGACATGAATTACTGATTTAATATTCGATAATCCAATACTATTCAAATTTCATGATAATTTTAGCGCGCGGAGGTTTGATTTTATTTTCGTTAAAGTTGTGGAAAGGAATGCTATTTAAATCCCTTTGCGTCTTTCTAACAATCTAGTAAACCTGGTTCAAAATTTCTCGAACGAGCGAGTCACATGCAGATAAATTCTATTACCTGTTTCATCACTGATCACTGTATTATAAATAGTTTGATCATTGATATTGATATCATGACCTGATTTTACCAAAAAAAGGGAACCATTCCCAACCTTTCAAACCTTTCCTTCCACCTTTTCCATTATTTTTATCACTGTTACGAATAATTTGAACCTGGTTTTCAAAATTCCTCAAACGAGCAAATTACATGTAGAAACGTCAGACAATGAATGAAAATTAAGAACGGAAGAAATGATATGAAGGCTATGGATATAAAGAAAGAAGGAAGAAAAAAGGGAATATCGCTTTAACACGAGAAAATCTGTAGAATGAAATGGAAATAAAAATATTAACCTGCGGCCATTTAGCGATCACTTCTACCGTAAACAAATAGCCATTTTCTACCTTCTGAATCACTTTCTATTAAGAAACTATTACACGATGAAATATGCACTGAACGGAAATGGCTATGGATATGGATAAGGCTATGGATTTAAGAACAAAATCGAAAAAAATATCGGTACAAAAAATATGCAATCACAAAATATAAAATTTTTCGACGAATAGATAAATAAAAAGTCCTAATATGGCTGGGCTGTGGCTGAGTTTAAACACAATTGTTCGGCTCGGCTCGATCTCTATAGCGAAAATGAAAGTTAAAAGCAAAACCAGAGTGGTAATGGTAACGTTCATTATTTCTTTCTTATGCACTATCTTTGAAGGAATTTTATTCTGATAGTCAATAAAATCAGCCAAACCGGAAATGTTAAGTGTAGTGAAAAAAGAAAAATTGCGATATAACTGCGATAGCATTCTAAATGAGAGGATAAATTTATTTGAACGAAAAATTTGACCAATGGGTATTTAGTTGCAAATTGTCAAAAACGCGGGCAATAAATATTGTTTGCACAATTAAAAACTAGTATACTATATTTAGTCGTAGAAAAATTATAGTTAAGTGGACACCAACTGTGAAAACAGAAATTCCAAGTGCTTTTAAGGCAGCATTTAAGTATCATTTTAGTAGAACACAATCTTAATTGCTAAGTTAGAAAAGATCAATTCAGTTTCAATTTGGCTATATATTCACAAAAATTTTATTTTTTTCCGGTTATTAACGCTAATTCTAACTCCAAACATGGTGAGAGTCTTAGTCAAAAAACTTATTGTAAACGTCAGCATTAAAAGACCCTGATGATACTAAAAATCACCTGTATTTCTATCCCTAAATTAAATTCTCACTAAAAAGTTTCATCTTGCAACTGAAGAATATATATAATTTTCTACATGTCCAATATCCAGTTAAATGTCAGATATACATCACTTAAATCACTTGTTTTGATTATTCCTTCTAATAAAAATAGATGGTGCCGATGAAGAATCAGAAATACTGGACGCTTATACACCAATCAGCCTTATTCTAACTTTTTTTTCTACCTTCACCAATTCTCTAAACAAGGTCGTTTAACTAAAAAACTATTGAATACAATAACTTAAGCAAGCATACCTTGCAAATCGAATTGCTTTCGATTTTCTTGAACTTCAATAGGAATAATACGTTCACGACGCTTAAAATATTCGTTTGCGTATGAACCTTGATTGGAGAATCTTTTCGAAACAATTTTCGATGTTTTTTTTAAAGTTTCATCGTTGAAATTTGACTCAAATGGTTCTCTGGAATTGCGAAAAAATTCAATTCAAAAATCGAGAATCAGGAATATCTCTAGGCTAGAAATATAACACATAACCTTGCACGTTTGCCACTTCTAGAACAGAGAAGTAATCATTACCCTAAGTTTGATTTTCGACTGCAAGTAAGTAAATCTTTTCATTTAAAGCCAACAACACAATAAATTCAATGTGCTAAATACAATAAACAGAGAAAGAAAAGAAAAACTACAAAAATTTCCTCAATGGAACATTAAAATCATTAATTAGTTAATATCAAATCAATCATATTACTTTGGACAAAACGTAAGGAAAAACCAAATCATGAATTACATATAATTACATAAAACATAATTCATTACATGAACTTAGGACGAGCCGCTCGCATTGTCATATTCCAGCTTTTACTACAAGTATTACGGCAATTTGGTATTTGAGATTCCTTATTTGTATTTGTATGTATTGTACCATCCGAATTCATCCTAAAAATATTTTAGATCCTTGATCAGTAATCAGCGACAGCTAAAACTAAAAGAGATTCATCACAACAAATGCAACCACGAAACCAAATAATATCAGCGATAAGAAAAAACCAACTTCCCAACTGACAAAACAGAAATATCACGTATAGACGGCCGTATTTCTTTTTTGTCTCGAAGTGTCCAATGTCCACTGAACATTCCAGCTTTGAATTTTCCGCTGAAAAATCTTTAGTTTTTGGGAAAAAACAAGATAAAAATGATAAAAATAAGAGTGAAGCTGGATAATGAACGATAAGCGAGTCAAATAAAAAACAATTGCAATAAATTTGCAAGAAAAAGAAAGATAATTCAAAAGTGATAAGAAATCCTTTTAATTATTTTTCAGAAAATTCTTTTTTTGCAAATGAAAACAAAATTACAAAATATTTTGATTAAGCTAAATTATTTCCAAAATTTTCCAGTTAGTATTTTCCGTAGCAAAAGGAAGACTTAATTTTTCACGTTAACACAAAAATTTTGTTTAAGCAGAAAGCTTATGGCATAATGCACCCGTAAGCCACACTCATAAATCTGGCGAGACGTGGGTTGTAGAAACCCCGTCGAATACTTCTTCATCGAACCAACTGGATTTTATCATATGGGTCATATGATGAGGAAGGATTTGAATCTTACTAGCCTTTGCTCGACCAATCCACATGTCAGTGCTCTCAAAAAGTTGTTAATGTTCGAAGGAAATAAAAATTCTAAATGGCGATTTTTTAAACAGCAACCTTGTTATCGGTGGACTTCAGCCCCAATTAAATATCAAATTTAATATGGTTCCTATGCCACACGAGCAAATTTATTGCCACGAATGCAAAAACATAAATGTCTTGTTATTTCGATAATTCATTGAAAAACAAATACAACTTAGCAAATCAACAAATTGTAAAGAAAACCGGAAAAGCTTTTGAGAGCAAAAGAAAAAATATAATTGAAAATTGAAAATTAAAATTGCCTAAAAAAATTTGAGAAATTTTTAGTGGAAAATTTCGTTCAAATTTCTACCGAATGAAAAAATTTGCTCGAAAAAGGGATTGTAGTGAATTTCACATAAGTTTCCATATTTTGAAAAGCTTCGACTCAATCATTTTAATTACAAACAAATAATAATAAAAGTACAGGCTAACACTGAAAATAAGTATAGATGGACACGCAAATATATTCAAAATTATAACGGAAATTACAGCGGATGAACAAAATAACGGGGATAAATCGGTAGTGAATGGACAAGGCAACAGGAATATTGCAGACAATAAGTCGTGCTCGCTACTGCTTTGCTCCGGAAAATCTATTTATTCATCAAGCCTTTTATAAACTCCAAACATTTAACTATTCGTTTGGTATCAAAAATCATTTCTAGTTTAGCTGACTTACAGAAATCTTCGCCAGAGAATCCATCTTGTAGAGAGAGAAATATAGGCGACTACTGGACATTATTCAATTTGAAAAAAAGGCCTTATTTCGCATCTTCTGGCAAAAACCGAAAAGATGCGATTCAGCAAATTAAGAGAAGATGCAACAAAACAACATACTTTTTCGAACAAGTTTGAGAATGTTTGGCTTGCGATGGTGATGAGAATGATGGTGAAGATGAGCTTGGCTCAAATACGCAAATTGAAGAAGGCGAATACATCGACTGATTATACCTTGAAAACCTCTTTAACGTCGGCTGATCACCTCGGTTACCGTCCATTAAACCCGCTATCTGCAATAAAATAATTTATGCATTATAGAAGATATGATTAATTAACCGTCTTATCACCAGCTTTTTATAGCGAAATAAAATTAACATAAAATAAATACAAATAAAAATTTATTCATTTTCCATTCAATAAATATTATTTTATGAGATAAATTAAAGCAGTCCAAAACGATCAATGAACTGCTCATTTTTTCAAATGTGCGAAAAAATAACAAACTCGATTCTTTATGAACTGACATATAACTTCAGACAAATCCAGACGCTGCTTGCCGCCAAGTCACCTCCTGGCAACAAATTCCAACCACGTTACAACAAAACGTGCAACGAAGCTAATAAGTACCCAAGCAAAAAAATTAACCATAAGTCAAATTGTATAATTTAATTTAATTATTTTAACTGCACGTAATATTTCCTTTTTGAATTTTCTTATAATTTTTAAGGATGACAAAAATCCTTGATAAAGGACAATAATACTAGTTATAAGGATTAATAAACCTTTCATTTCCAATGATATTTTTTCCATGTTCAGAAGGAAAATGAAGTTTATTGACAGATTTATTTATTTTTACTAGAAGCAGAATCCGGATCTTGATGCCTCAGAAGTGTTTAGTCTCCACCACTTCTGGTTAGTAGCTCCCACTATGAAGGAGCCACTTGGTGATAAAAGTCTAGGTGAGTGGTCAGCACCATTTGATAGTACAGGACTCTTTAATAAAACATCCACTCTTGCCGTAAGAAGAATCCTGATGCCTCAGATGTGATCTGGGCATCTGGACAATAGCGGTTATCATGTCTCCAATAATAGAACATTTTGATAGCAAATCCTTGAGCATTTCGACAAAATTTATCGATAATTTCAATCAAAATCTCTTTCGATTTCTAATTTCTCACAAGTTTTAAAAAATTGCAAAATAAATAAACGCCTCACAATTCGAGCTATTGCAGAATAAACTCCAACTTTATATCCAGTTAGCACTTATTCATTTCAAGAAGAACGACACGATTTCTCGCGACTTTAAGATCATACCAGTTCATTGCGAAACAACTGGATCCGTTGGGTCAACAACTGATAGTAGCCTACATCTTTGTTGTTATTGGATGAGTAAAGCAAAAAGTTGTCTAAAAATTTCTAAAACAACCAATTTTCCGATTATATTTATACGATTATCTATTATTTACTAAATATTTTTATTCATTTATTCAGGAATATTGTCGGTGGTTTGAATGCCATCGAAAATCAGGATGGTAATGGCAATGTCGTTGAACGCCGAAAGCAAAAGAAAGTGACTGAGTAGGGTTGTTGCTGTGAAGTCGAAAATGAAATTCTACGCATCGGCAAAAAAACTTTACTTTCCAGAGATCCTGGTGATGCTGGCCACTCATTCGCAAAATTTGCCTGGTCTGACAAGCTAGAATAAAAACTTCGTCATCGGTGGTGAGTCGCTCTTAGAAGAAAAAAGCACTTTAAATAATTAATTACAGATTTATGGTTTCTACCAGGTCAAATAAATATCAATGGCCACTTTGCAATTTGTTAACGATCTGCTAATATAACTTTACTAAAGAATTAAATCCTGTTGTCAGCATTTAATGATCTTTGGATATTATTAAATGGATTTCTCGTATTGCAGCAATAGTTTCACGACTTTACACAACACATTTTCCTAATATACATAAAACTCTTCAATGCTTAAAATATTTGCAACCACGACGTAAGCAATGAATTAAGTAAACAATAAATTTGACCTATATATCAATACAGCAACTCTTGAAAATCGACATTGAAATACAAAACTTTCACTCAGCAAAGGTCACCACATTAATATTCGATATTGAGCCTAAGCGTAAGAAGTAGACTTCTTTCGCTGAATAGACAGGCCTATATGTAGGGCATATTTCTTTCGGAAAATTGACTCACCTCATTATCAAAACATCTCGAACCAACCATTCCAGGAAAATCGTCTCTAACTTGATAAGGAAGATCAGAAATATCGAAGATACGAACTTTTAAATATCGATAAGGTGGGCATCGTGCGAGCGAGTTCACTTCATCCTCTATATCGCTTTGGGGCTGAAAAAATTTGAAATTTTAAGGCTAGCGTTCAGAATGCTCACATTTTTCTTCTATTCTTCCTTAAAATAACGAAACTTTTGCAAAAAAAATTAAAAGAAGTACGTAAGAAATTCAAAAGCCAAAATGAAAAACGGAATGATAAATCGAGTATTAGTCTACTGTCACTGTTTTCCTTTCTGGTTTGCTAATAGGGTGAAACATAAAAGCTGAAGTAGGGCGCTCTCACAACCACTTCATGATGTACCATTCGAGCCTTTCAAGCTATTTTAATCATTAGATAATGGTATGCATATATAATCAACCACTAATAAAGCGATAGCAGCACTCATTTCTACAATATTTGTTGCGAATTTTGACAAATTTAGGATACCATAAGACTATAAAATGTTATAATTTTAATTTCAAATATTACTGGCCTAGCAAAAAATAAATATAATGAGACTAGCCAAGCTCTGGATTCGAAATGAGAGGTATTTGGTAAATCCAACTGATTTTGTTCATGCAAATGAGTAAAAATTAATATTGCAATTGAAGCACTTATGTCATACAATTTAATTTTCATCCAAAACCCATGAAATTTTTTAGAGAATTAAAATCAGAACTAACTTTAAGACAACAACAAACCAATCGAAGATGCATAATAAAGATACATACATAGCGATTGATGTAATAGATTGGGAATAACAAAAATTGCGATAAAAACATATTGCAAAGGTCAGCGCCTAATTCTAAGGTCAACATGAAAAATATTTGACTACTATTCCTATTTCTTTATCTTTCCTTTTCCTTCTTTCCTTTCATTTGCCACTCACTGATTTATTTTCTCCTCATTTTCCGAAATTTTCCAAGCACAACGATTTGTCAATAAATAGCGAGAATATCGTTCATATAACATCTTTAAATCCCTTCTTTTTATAGTCTTTAATTATATTCTTTTGTATTTTCTGTTACTAATATGACTTTTATCGCTGATGAGTAAAATTCAAATCTTCATTCTTCTTCTAACAGCTATCACCATCACTGGGCTCCGCTCGTTGCAAAAGCAAGGGTGAAACTACTTTTGTAAGAATAGAAAATGAAAAATTCCCATGCGAAAACATATTTAAATTCCATTGACTGAACAAATTCACAAATTATCTGCATATAGATTTGTTTTAAAAAATTTATTCCGTTTTAGACGCTAAAATCTATTATCCTCACTGAAAATCTGCAAAAGAAGAAGATAATTCCGCAGAAAAAATGGAATTAAAAATATACCATTACTTTCTAGCTAGGTAAATGGTTGCCGCTTATCATTTTTGATTAGGTTAACTCTCTGGTTGCTACGGTGAGAAATTTTTTTAAGGAGTCCTCTGGTAACGGAAGCAGAGTGGGTCGCCAGCACTCAATAATAACTGGTTTACTTATTTCGGAGTAAGCAATCAAACTTAAGAAGAGTTTTTAGTTTGATGGAAATTTATAAAAGGAGACTTTCAAATGAAAATTAAAATCATAAACTAATTTTCATTCCGAAAGAGCGTGGTGCTTTTTTTCAAATTTTCTTTCAAATTTATCAATTAATAAAGAAAATTTGTTTAAAATGAATTTTTTTTTGGAATTTATAAAATCATTGCGAAAACCAGTTTCTTTTAGAAAATTGATATAAATGTTTTATCAAAATAAAAATAACATAAAGAAAAAAAGCTTTCCCTCTTCCTATTCACTTAATTGATTAACTGGAAACATCAATTATTAGAAAACGAAAAAATGTCGCTAAATATATATATATATATATATATATAAATATATATTAGGAGACACCAAATAGCAGCAAACAGGAAATAAATAACCATAACTGTTTATTGTTACCTGTGAAACTAAATGCAAATGTCGCTTTCGACCTCGTAATTTTCCACTCTGATAGCATTCATCAATAGTGATTTGGTTTTGTTGCCTCTATTAACTTCTGGGATAAAACTCTTTAGCTTGAGAGCCACTTGGGAATAGAAGTACAAGTAAGACAACGCCAACCGACCAAACTTTTCTTTCAATGACAGGTTTGCTCCCATCAATAGATACTGAAGCCAGCAATGACTCAACCGATACAATGCATCACTCGAAAATTCTCCATGAAAAGGCGATAACTTGCTATATAGTATAGAATTATTCCAACTTTTCTGATTAAGGAATTAAAAAAATAACAATAAAATTGTCATAAATTTGTGCGCAAAAAGACCATAATTTTGAAAAAACAATCCTCGCCTTCCGTCCAATCAAAAAAATCTGATAAAGAGCTTGAAATTTAACCCTTGTAATTTATACAAAATATCCATTCATACAAATTAATGGCTATCTAATTACTGTCTAAACCTTGCGATGCTTATAATTCAAGTATATGAATACTTTACTATAGATACTTTGTTCAAGATACTTTAAGATATTTTGTTTAAGATACTTTGTTTGGTCAATTCTTTAATAAAAAATAAATAAAAAACCTTAGGTTTAAGGAAAAAGAACAAATTCAAAAAATTCAATTAAGTAAACGTGGATATTAGAAATTCATCTGGAAAAAAAATCTACAATTCTACAATTTTTCTACAATTAAAAAACTGAGGATGAGTGCAACTGATATAAACAGCAAAATTTACGTTTGATTTGTAGAAGAAAACAAGATTTTAAGAAAAAATTGAAGTTAAAGAGATATATAAATATGACTGATAAGGAAAATATTAATTTGCGATTGGTGATAATTACAATAATTCAATAATTTTTATGTTCAATATTCAAGTACAACCACGAGGAAGAAATAAGCTTTTTCACGACTTCAGTGTAAGAAAATTCGGAAAAACCTAAAAAAATTTAAAAAAAATAATTTATCCTCGTGAAATCAATTAAGACCCAGCTAAACTAAAACGCTTTCGAACAGGTAAATTAACAATTAATGCATTGTATATTTCGTCATGTTCGCCAAATTTTGCCTAATCGCTTGGCAATAGAAATATAAGTAAATCGTCGCTAGAACCACCTGGATTTTCGAAGAATAAGTTTATTCCTGCTGCGCTTAGAACATCAGCATCGATGTTCCAAAATGATAACGTAATAATGAGCTACTTTCGCTATATGACCACATTACCGCTTGGTGAAATGTGGCGTATATGTTTAAATTTAAACTCAAGCCATTCTCGAATTGCGATGGCAATCATCTTGTCACTGAGTCACCCTAGTATTCTAGCATTATTTAGATAATTTAGATAATTTAGAAATATGTATTTATTATATTTAATATGTATTTATAATTTATATTATTTAATTTAAAATATAAATCCGTGATCGTTCTCAACTTCGAGGCCCCTACGAGAGACCTGGAAGATGAGGGTTCTGCACAACATCTTAGATATTACTGGCAGCACGCTCTTTGGATAAAGATGGTGTTGTCCCTAAAATTTGCTGAAACAAGTTTTCTAGTTTAGGAGTAACATTTTCCAAAGCTCTTGTCACTGAGTCACCCTAGTATTCTAGCATTATTTAGATATATAATTTAGAAATATGTATTTATCACTCCAATAATCACTGGTCTTTACTTTTCGTATTTTCTCCAGTTCCTCTTTCAACCCTTGGTATTTCTGAAGTTAAATAAGATAAATTTATTAAGTGATTTAAATAAAATTAAACAAAATTTTATTAGATAAGGTAACGCAATTCATGTAGTATGGCCGAATGTTGCTTAGAATTTTAACTATTTATTTAAGGTTCTCTTTTTAACTTTACTATAAAAAAAATGAAATCCAAGTGATGTTCGGTACACCCATATTTCTCAACTCATCCTCAATCCTCAATATCCTCAACTCTCTCTCCTAACAGTCAAAAAGCCAAGCAAACGACAAACAACGCCACCAAAAAACATTACAAAAATTAAATCTATTCGAAACCAATAAATGATAAATATTACAAAAATTAAAACAATCCTAGCATAAAATTTTTCTATTTTAAAATTTAACAATTTAAATTTAGAAAAAGCTTGTTTTTGCAGGAAATTTGCAATAATAATATTGATATCTAAATTATAGAATAAATTTTAGAGTTGCTTAGATAATTGTGTTGAGAAGCAAGGATCTACGGGAGTAAACCTATCATTAAAAAATCCGGGTAAGGTAGCAAATGTTTTAGCTGACTTCTTGACAAACTAACAGCAGCCAGCCGCCGATTAAATCTACCCAGAAATGGCTAATTAACCGTTTACATATCAAATTCTAAAAAATATTTCTAGTGAATAATTAATTGATTTAATTAGACAATTAATTAAACAAGTGCTCCATAAACGATTCTTTTGAGCATTTTTATATGCAATTTTTTTTAAGAGCCCTCACCATTACTGGTTAGACTTGCTCCGCTGCCTTGTCGCACTAGATAAATATGCCAGGGAGTGCCTTGGCAATAGAAGTAGAAGCTCGCCAGCATTACTCGGAATTTTGCACAGGTTTGCTCCTACGAATACTTATTCTAGGAATCATTAATTATAAATTATTACAAAAAGATAAAAATCAGAAAACTAATTTTTAGCATCTCAATTTTCAAATACAATTAAGCCTCTTCAAAGAACTTCCATAAATAATATAAAGTTGAACTTTTGTAAGATTATGGAAATGGGTCAATAATACTGGTATGTGTTAATGTGACTCCATCGTCTAGTAATAAAATACTTTATTTAAACAATTTTTATGAGGATGAACAATTTAATTAAAATTTTGTTACTCTTATTTTCCATAAAATTAGCCGAGATTGGTTAAGGATAAAGTGACAAATGGTGAAATCGACTATGATGAACCTAGGAACCTAATTATTAGTACAAAAGGTTGCATCAACCTATTCCAACTATTAATGACACCATGTGAGAAAAAATTAGCCTCAAAAATAAGTTTCTTTATTTTTTTATTCTATTATTGAATGAATTTATTTGTATGAAGAAAGAAAAATTCATATAAAAAAAAAGTATTTGTTGATTTTATTCACTAATAATAATGAAATAAAAATGATAATTGTACATTATTATCTTCTTCAAATAGAAGCAGGAAAATATTTTTTCTAAAAAAATCAACAAAAGACGATTATAACTTAAATACTCATTTATAATTATCATTGTTGATAAGAGATAAATATATATATATAAATATTGCTACGTAACTTCAAAGAAATTACCCCTAGTGTAACAATTTGACTGCAATATCCACAGCCAAATAAAATACAAATAAAAATAATAGAAATATAATTTATTAATATAATAATACAATAAGTTGCAACGACTTATAATAACACCCTCGCAACCGAAAGTCTGGATACAAAACATTGTTAAAAAGGGGATGAACCAGTGCTATATAGATAAGTACGGTTAAGCAGTGACCTCGAGAAATCTTAAGAAAGCCCCTTACTAAAGTAAAGTGTCAACGAGTGCTCGATATTAACGTTACAAGTGTCATCTTCGGAAAAGCACGATAATAAATTTTTATGAAATAATGTACTATTCTATACTTTTTTAGTAATCTTATTTTTGTCGAATATTTTAATTTTATAATCGAACTTATAAAAACTTTTTCTCATTCAAACAAAAATAGAAAACATTTTTTTCTAGAAAAATCAACAAAAGATGGTCATTAAAAGAGAATTTTCCCTCAACATTTTCATAAAAAATTATTTAAAAAGTCACTTAAAAAAAGTCCAGCAGGCTCCGCTAACAGAGATTTTTATATCATTTTCGACATATTCTA